TCAGACATGACTAAACAACAACAAGCAAAGTGTGTGTCTTGTGATTTTAAAATAGCAAGGAGATGTTTAAAAGACAGAGGGAAGGTTAAGAAATTGGTGGTAGTTGATAGTTTATCTACTGTTTGTTTGATTATGTAACCAAAAGCATTACTTTGAAGCTAGGCATTTTCTTTCTTAAGTCAAGACAAGTGAAAAATAAGTTAAGTTATAGAGAAGCTGGAGAAACAAGAAAGGGAAGATTTTGTGAGAAAATAGGAGCAGAAAGAGAAAATAAAGATCAGATGGAATTCACTTTTAGAGCAGTAACATTATCTTTGCTGAAGATGACCTGATCCCATATGATAAAAATGTTAAATAGATCATATGACAAAATATTGGTTATGACGATGAATTAGAACAATGGTTATAAATATGGCAGATTAATATTAAATTTTTAAAAAGTTAATAAGCTTAAAGATAAGAAGAAAAAGAGATTGTCCAAGGGAATGGAAGATTAGCTACTATAATTGGTTTTTTATATGTTTTCACTTTTTAATATAGTAATATAATTGCATAAATGTATGGAAGAATACTTCCCCCCCTCTGGAATTTTATCTTGCTCCCACCCTTTCCTTTCTCCCTTTCCTTTTTCCTTTGTTCCTAACAAAACCCATATACTTTTGAAAAATCAAGAAAAAAAACCCGGAAGGGGCCAAAAAGAAAAAAAATAAAGGAAAGAAAGAATTTTTGCCATTCCATGACCCTGAATCAACAGCAAGACATTCAACAAATGTTAGTATTCAAATCCAGTTCTCTGTCAATTATGTTGAATTACAGCCTGCTTCTATAGATCCATACAGGCCTAAAGCAAAATTACAAATGTTAACTAACATACAAAAAAGATATTTCTGAACAGTAAACCACTCAGAATTTATGATGTCAGATATAAAGGGAGGAAATATCTCAAGTGGATTAGGAAAACATCTGAAAGATAAATCTGATATTCAATGTGCTCCATCTGAAAAAGATTAAAATATTTTATGCATAACCCGGATTATCCTGAACAGAAACAAAGGAGATTTTTCTGAGAGAGATCCTGATCCGAATCAGCTGATTTCTCTTGTGCTTTAGTTGACAGGCCTGGGAGAGTTTTCTCCATGGACATCCTCAATGTTTACAGAGTGACAACACAACAACTGCTTTAATTAAACACTGTTTAATGAAGATAAGAAATGCCCTTGGCTTCACTCTACATTCTCACTTATGAAGCAGTGAAAAAGAACTACTTACACAGCACTTACTGCAGAAGAATCTGGGTATTTTGCAAAGGTCTTCAGAGCAAAATCACCAAGTGTAATGGATACAAAATGCCCAAGAATTGTCTCATCTGAAGCTTTAGGGAAAGAAGTTTGTACTTTTGTCCTCCAATCACAGACAGAAGGGGTCATATTCTGTTGGGAAGAACAGAGCATCAAGAAAATCAGATAGAAGGCTGACCAATATTGGGACTCACCTCCTTTGGACTCCTTCATGGTCTTCTCCAGCCACCAGCAGTTCCTGTCAGAACATACAGAGAAGCTTAGACTGGCAGTGCTGTCCACTTCCTCTCTCAAACTGGCATGTTGTCAGTTCCTTGAAGTGGAGACTTTATAGACTAAGTGCAGAGATGCTAACCCAAATGGGCTGTGTTAGCTCCTTGTTTTGACACCAGAAGCCCCCACATTTCTCAGGGTCATTGGGGAAACAGAATGCGGAACACAGTAATTTAGATGATTATAGGGAATGTTATCAATGCCTCTTGAGTTTCTTATGCCGATGGCCTGCTCTGTTCTGAAGTACTAATAATGTACACAAAAATATAAAAAAGGATCAAGTCTCTTCAATCTATCTAAAAACTTTTGTTAATTTGTTGTTATGTTTTGTCAGGTTCTTTTGACTTATAGCAAGGCAATGCATGAAGCACCTCTGAAAAGTTATACCCTTAAGAGCCATGCTTACTTCTTGAAAAGTAGAAGCTCTGACTTCCTTTATTTTACCAATCCTTCTCAATTTAGTTTTCCTTAAGTCTTCATATTCTCTTAGCATTGCTATCTTTTCCAGTCAGTCCTGCCTTCTCATGATACGTCAGTATAAAGTAACTTTAGTTTTGTCATTGTAGATTCTACTTGGAGTTCAGGCATCTTTTGAAATACATTCCATTGAAAGATATCTGAAGTAGGCCAGAATATTTAATTATTTATTCATACTATTTTATTTATAAACAATTTACTTCACTTTTCTCCTTAAAAAGAACCCAGAGCGGCTTACCTAATTTAAAGTCATTTTTAAATGCTAAAAGGAGTAACTACAGTGGGGTCCTGACTTAAGAACGGCTCGAGTTAAGAACATTTTGACTTAAGAACCACTCTCATAGGAAAATATTGACTTGACTTACATACCTAGATTTGAGTTAAGAACTGAAAAAAAAACCACGTGGGAGGCAGGGAAAGTGCAAAATTTGAACTTTCAGTTAACTGTTGGCCAGTGAAAAGGGTGCCTGTCTGCTTCCTCACTCCTCCCAACGTTTAGAGAGTGGATTGGGAGACAGTCTTCAGACTGCCTGGTACTGTACTGCCTGGACTGTATTTTCCCTGCCTTCCCTGAACCTTTCTTGACCTAAGAAAAAAAAGAAACAAAATATCACCCTCTAGTGGTTGAAGGCGGAATAGCAATTTCCCATTAGTTTCTATGGACAGAAAAGAGCAGATACGGATCAAATGGTTTTCAATGCATTCCTATGGGAAATGCAGATTTGACCTGAGAACTTTTTGACTTGAGAACCGCCTTCCAATACGGATTAAGTTCTCAAGTCAAGACCTCACTGTATACAAATTTTTTAGAAGGATTGGACAAATTTTTTACAAATGATTAAAAAAAACTGGCACCAAAAAAAGAGATCCAAAGCAACAAGGCATACTACCCCGTTGTCACACACCCCCAGTCCCCCTGTTTGTTTTTCCACACAACCCAGGTTCACTTTCGGGTATGACATCTGTTTCTCAACTGTTTTCCGCTGCCACCAGAGGGTTTATTCCTCACTCTATCAAATATGACTCTTAAATCACAGTTCTTCAATATAACAATGTTTATTTATGTGTTTATCAGTTAAATCAATCATGGATGGTCTTTTTTTATTCATTCATTAAATTGTACTTTGGTAACACATTTGCTTAGGTAGAATCATTTTAATCAAGGTATTTATTCATTTCTTTTCACTTCTAACTCTTTCCAATCATAACCATAAACCATACAAGATTTCTACTTTCCTTATCTTATTGTCTATCTCTCTATTACCCTTCTCTAACACAAGACTGGACTCATATCCCTAACTCATCCCTAGCTGATCTTTAACTGACTTCCATTCTTCTTATATTTCCTTAGCTCCCCCCCTTCTGTACATCCATTGGCTCCTGAATCAGGGTTCCATTGTGATGGACAGGAGTGGTTACTGACCTGTCCGTCACACCCATTTAAAACTCAGATGCTAATGGCTAAGGGAAAACCAGTCTGAAGAGAAAGTTCTTTGCTTATGGACAGACATCAAAAATATCACTCTTTTGAATTCATAAAAAGGGACAAGAGAGAGAAGGAGGCTGGTGGACGTCCTAACTGACTTTCCCCAAATCAGGGTCACCTCAGTCTAGTGTCATGATTCCTAAAATCTTCTCTTCCTCTTGCAACCTCTTCTTCTTCTCACTGGAAATAGTTAAAAACAGAAGCATTCATAAAGAACGTGCCACATTGTGTCTGAATGATAATGGGAAGAAAACCTATCCCAAGTAATCCAACAATTAATCAAACCTTATGAAAATAAAAGCTATGGGGTTTTTGTGGGCTCTTTGGGACTAGTTGAAAGAAAGGGATTGTCATGATCCCAATATAGCCCCTGATTGTTTCACCAAGCTAGGAGCTCATACTATGTGTCTCTCAGCTGCCACCAGTTGATTACATCAACATTGTTTATTATGAATATTAGAAGTACAGGCAATGTGTCATTTTTGAAAAAAGAACCAAATAGACATTGTTTATTGTTACAGATGATGATAGTTCAAGCATTGTTGTTAACTCTTAAAGGAGCATCCTCCTTCATCCACTCTCAAACACCAATATCTCTCTGAAACTCCCAAACTCTTCAATTTTCTCAAAACTCTCAGTCTCCCTAACTCCATTAAAACTCTCTCTCCTCCTGTTGAGTCTCTTATGTCTCATGATTCTGCCCCTCCAGCACTCCCATTGGTCTATGCAGATATTACATTAATATTCATCACCTGGGCAGATGCCACAAGGTTCCAACTGCGAATCAGGAACAGGTTCATAGAATTTTTGGACAGACTGGCTCTTTCATGGTGGTCCTGAGAAATGTGGAACACAGGTGTCCTCACAGCTTGGTAAGGGAGCGAATAAAGATATCTCATGTCTGAAAGTGCTGGAGTCAAGAGAACTCTGTGTTCCATGTTCTCATCCTATAGAGATGGCATTCTCATTCATAGCACTTGGCCTTGGAGATTTTTTGGAGGTAACCTCCAGAAGCCCTAAATAACCTTATCAGAAGTAGGATGATAGGAGGAAAAGACTAAAACAGCTGGGGAGGGGTCAAGAGAGAACCACACACTACAATGAGACCATTGTCACGGGTGATATCAATAAGGTCACATTTCTTTCTTCAGGACCTGAGTGAAAATCACACAGTAAGAATGACCAAAATGAGGGACTGTCAGGATAATGGCTCCCATTCCCACATGTCAGGGTTGTGTCCCAAGGTTGAAGGGATTGGCAAATGAATCTTCTTTGAAATTGATAAATTAAAAATTGAAAATTCCAATGAGCCACCTCCCTTGTTTTGCTGACATTGTTTCAAGGGGAGAGACAAAATGATTATATCAGCATCTGAGCTTTTCCCTCACAGGCAGGCTACTTATTGCACACCATCGCAAGGCCTGAATCTTATAAAATATGCTGCTTATTAATAGACTTTGTAAACTCAGATGAATTTACTTCTTTTGTCTGTGTAAATTTTCCAAAGAAGTCATTGAAGATGATGTGATTTCTCTCTCACCTGTATCTCATATTTTTCCCTACTATTTGCTTCTTGTTGTTCAGGTCAGGCATGAGAATAAGAACATAACATTTGGGAAGGAAGATACAACCCAGCAAGCCACCACTGGAAGCCAAGATGGAGAAGACCTCCACGGCTACCATGTATTTTCCTTTAGTACTCAGGTAGGCTGGGAGAAAAGACACCCAAACAGTGCAAAACATCAACATGCTGAAAGTGATTAATTTGGCTTCATTAAAAGTATCTGGCAACTTGCGGGCAAAGAAAGCTACCAAGAAACTGAGGATGGCCAACAAACCCATGTAGCCCAGGACAAGATAGAACATGAGATCTGAACCTTCATTGCATTGAACTAAGATTGTTTCGGTCTCAGAATGCATGTCAAACTCTGGGAAGGGGGGAGAAGTAATCAACCAGACCACACAAATACCAGCCTGGATAAGAGAAGACACCATGATGACAGCCCCTGCCAGCCGCTTCCCAACCCATCTTCTGATCTTTTTTCCAGGCTTTGTGGCCATGAAGGCTACTATCACAGTGATGGTTTTGGCTAAGACACAAGCAACAGACACACAGAAGACGATGCCAAACACCATTTGTCTCAGGAGGCAGGTGAGAGTTCCAGGCCGTCCAATGAAGAAGAAGGAACAGAGGAAGCAGAGGAGGAGAGAGGAGAGGAGGGCACAGGTGATGCTCCAGTTGTTGGCTTTGACCATGGGAGTGTGGCGGTACTGAACGAAAGTCCCCATCACCATGATGGTGGTGATAGAAAGGAAGAGGGCCAAGCTAGTCAGTACTGAGCCCAAGGGTTCCTCATAAGAGAGGTAGCTTAGGGCTTTGGGAATACAACTGTCTTGATTCTTGTTTGGATACTGGTCCTTGGGGCATTCCTGGCATTCTCTTGCATCTGAAAGAAAACAACCTGGTCTTAGTTTTGGAGTCACACAACTTTAATCCATTATAGAAACTAACCCTTTAATTGAGTCCTGCATTTGTTTTCTCAAAGTTGATACTCTCTTCAGACAGCCTTATTCTTAACTTTATAAAAATGAGGCAGAAATGTCACTATAGAGGCAATTCAGATTCTTGAGTCCTGCATTTTTTTTAAAGTTAATACTCTCTGGAGACATCCTTGTTCTTCTATTTATCAGAATAAGGCAGGAATGTCACTAGAGAGACAATAAAAATTCCTGTAGAGGTGCTTTTGGATTCCTTCACTTACCCATCTGGATCGAAATCCTCCCGTTAGGGCATGCAACGCAATCATAACAGCACACCTGCTTCCCCATTTGGACAGACATGCTCTCTCCAGGGTGGCAGCTCTCCACACAGGTGGACCTGGGTGTATTCTAGTCATCATCAGAAGGAAATTCATGAAGAAGTTAAATGATACTTAGAAGGAAGGTTATTTAGAAGTTAAATGATCTGAGGAACAGGAGTCTCCAGACATTTGAACATGAGGGTCACATCGTATATTTTCCACATTTTTGAAAGGCAAAAGGAATGTGCTCATAGTTGCAGCCACACATACACATGCACCTCAGCGAGCACAGATGTCTGCCCACCCGTATGGAGGTACACACACAGACATACACACACAAGGACAGAGTCCTCGGAAGCCCGTCACCTCTCTCCCATATGAGTTGAAGGCTATGGGCAGAAGGGAACAGATAAAGTGGAAAGGTAGGCAGGATGTGGCTTGCAGGCTGCAATTTGGAGACCCCTGATGAAGAGGAAGATTTATATATACACATACATACATACATACATACATACATACATACATACATACATACATACATACACACACACACACACACACACACACACACACACACACACACATACATACATACATACATACATACATACATACATACATACATACATACATACATACATACATACATACATACATATGTGGCCCACAACATTAAAATCCACACAATTTAAAAACACATTAAGTTAAATATTAAAAGGAAAATTGAACAATATATGATTTAAAATACAATTAAAACATTAAAACATAAAAAAGATTAAAATTTCTTCTGAAACAGGTTCAGGAATTCAGTTATAATTGTTAAAAGCCTTTTTGAAGAGATGGGTCTTTAGCTTTTTTCGAAAGGATAAAAGGGAAGGGGCCAGCACTTTGAATTGGGCTTGGAAACGGACTGGTAGCCAGTGCGGTTCTTGTAACAGGTGTGTATATGCTCCATGTAGCTGGCCCCAGCCAGTAGTCTGGCTTCAGAGGTTTGCACCAGCTGACCTGTCCAAACTGTCTTCAAAGGCAGCCCCACTTAGAGGGTGTTATAGTAATCCAATCAGGATGTAACTAAGGCATGTGTCACTGTAGCCAGATTCAATATCTCAAGGAACAGGCACAGCTGGTGCAACAGCTTTAGCTGTACAAATCCACTCCATGGACCACCGAGACCTGGGCATCCAAGGCTAGGGATGGATCAAGGAGTACACCCAAGCTGCAGAGCTGAATTTTCATGGGGTGGGTGTAACCAGATCCAGCACAGATAGCATCCCTGTTCCCTCATCTGCCTTCCGATTAACCAGTAGCACCTCTATCTTGCATAGCCTGCGGTAACCAGTAGCACCTCTATCTTGCATAGCATGTTGCATAGCCTAGGAGTTGCCACAGAGAAGGCCTGGGCATCCAAGGTTAGGGATGAATCCAGGAGTACTCCCAAGCGACAGACCTGGGTTTTTAGGGGGGGGGTTGTAACCCCATCCTTTACAGGTATTATCCCTATTCCCTCATCTGCCTTCCAGCTAACCAGTAGCACCTCTATGCTGTCTGGATTAAGTTTCAGTTTCTTTGCCTTCATCCAGCCCATTACTAATGGCAAGCACTGGTTTACAGTCAGGACTCAAGACAGCTTTCCTGGAATTAGGTGGAAAGGAGAGATAGAGTGGGGTGTCATCCGCATACTGGTGACACCCAACCCCAGAACTCCAGACAACCTCTCTCAGCAGTTTCATGTAGATGTTAAAAAGCATGGGTGACAAAGCAGAACCCTGAGGAACACTACAGTCCAGTGGCCAGGGCATTGAGCAGGAGTCACCTAGCACCACCTTCTGAGGTCTCCCCTCCAGGAAGGACTAGAGCCACTTTAGATAGTGCCTCCAATTCCCATCGCTGAGTGATGTCCCAGAAGGACACCATGGTTGATGGCATTGATAGCCGCTGAGAGGTCCCGCAGAACCAACAGGGACACACTCCCCCTGTCCAGTTCCCAGTGTAGGTCATCCACCAAGGCAAAAAAAGATGTCTGTCGATTCAGTACCTTGCCCCGGAATGGGATGTTTGAGACCAGCCAGTAGTTATCCAATCCACTGGGATCCAGGGAGGGCTTCCTCAGTAGTGGTCTTATTACTGACTCCTTTAAGCAAACAGGGATCTTACCCTGCTGCAAGGAGGCATTTACCACTCCCTGTACCCAATCGGCCATTCCTCCTCTGGCTGCTCTTATGAGCCAGGAAGGCCAAGGGTCCAGCACACATGTGGTGGCATTCACCTCTATACTGTCCACATCATCCATTAAAAGAGGACAAGCCAGGGCCAAAGTTATATCCACTGGGTCTATATCAATTACAGCATCCAAGGCAGAGCAGATCCGAGCAACTTTATCTGCAAAGTGTTGTGCAAATTCCTCACAGTGGGCTGTGGAGTGGTCGATATTTTGTTCTTTTGGTGGGGCATGTACTAAGCCCCTGACCCTTGAAACAACTCCGCTGGACAACGTTGTCCTTTAGAAGTTAATTTTCTTTTAAAATATAATACAAGGGTTGTATATTTTTTTTTGCCAGAATCCTGATGTGTTTCCATAGAATTTGCATAATTTGCTGTGTTTATCCAGAGACAATAGACATGGTGACAACAGGAATCACAAAAGACACTACTGTTCTCATCTAGCGTAGACAAATTGGATCAGTTACTTGATGGTGGATCCATGCATATTTATGACCAAAGACTCAATGGAGAATTTAAGGATCCTCCCGGTCTCTACAAGCTTCCTTTCTGTTTGAGAACCAATCTGAAGCTTGAAGAAAATGACTTTATTTGCTTGAATGAAAGTAATTTTGAAAATTTAAAATTATTTTTTATTTCCTTGAAGCAATTAAATTTAACATCATCTTCACAGAACTGCTGGGAGATGTTCTCCAGTGTATTGGTGATCAATCTGACCAGTATGCAGATGACACCCAACTCTATCTCTCCTTCCCGTCTAATGCAAAGGAGGTTGGCCAAAAGATTGGATCTCAATAAATAATAGAAGATAGATTTGGAGGGTCATGACCTAAGATATGGATGATGTAATTACTTTTGGTATAATAAAGCAAAGGTGAATGCAGAGTTTAATAACCACCATTTACGCCAAGCTATACTGAAGTTTTGGGATCACTATAAGTTAATACTTTTACCTAAACAGCCATTATGGATGTCCCCACAGGAGTCATGGTTCAAAAGGGAAATATTATATATAAAGGGAAATGGGGAACGTATGGAAATATTCTCCAATAACACAAGAGGCCACTCTACTCATGGACATCTCCAGATGGGCAATACCGAAATCAGATTGATTATATTCTTTGCAGTCAAACATGGAGAACACGACACTTTGCACCGAAACTATACAGTCAGCAAAAAAAGAAAAAAGAAAAGAAAAGAAAAAAGAAAGAAAGAAAGAAAAAAGAAAGAAAGAAAGAAAGAAAAGAAATTAAAAAAGAAAAACAAAAAAAGACCTGGAGCTGATTGTGGATCTGATCATCAGCTTCTTATACCAAAACTCAAGCTAAAACTGAAGAAAGTAGGAAAAACCACAGGGCCACTCAGGTATAATCTAAACCAAATCCCCTATGATTACACAGTGGAAGTGAAGAACAGATTTAAGGAACTCGATTTGGTGGACAGAGTCCCCGAAGAACTATGGATGGAGGCTCATAACATTCTGCAGGGGGCAGCAATTAAAACCATCCCAAAGAAAAGAAAATGTATGAAAGCAAATTGGCTGTCCAACAAGGCCTTACAAATCACAGAGAATAGAAGGGAAACAAGATGCAGGGGAGATAGGGAAAGTTACAGAAGCAGAAGACATCAAGAAAAGGTGGGAAGAATACACTGGACCCAGACAACCCAGATAGTGTGGTTGGTGACCTTGACCCAGACATCTTGGAGAGAGAATGCAAGTGGGCCTTAGAAAGCATGGCTAACAACAAGAAGGCCAATGGAGGTGATGGCATTCCAGTTAAACTATTTAAAATCTTAAAAGATGACGCTGTTAAGCTGCTACACTCAATAAGCCAGCAAGTATGGAAAACTTAGAAGTGTCCAGAGGATTTGAAAAGATCAGCCTACATCACAATCCCAAATAAGGGCAGTGCCAAAGAATGCTCCAACTACTATACAACATCTTACAACATAGGCTTCAGCAGTATGTGGACCGAGAACTCCCAGATGTACAAGCTGGATTTCAAAGGGGCAGAGGAACTAGAGACCAAATTGCTAACATGTGCTGGATTATGGAGAAAGCCAGAGAGTTCCAGAAAAACATCTACTTCTGCTTCATTGACTGGGCAAAAGCCTTTGACTATATGGAACCCAGCAAACTATGACAAGTCCTTAAAGAAATGGGAGTGCCTGATCACCTTCTCTGTCTCCTGAGAAATCTCTATGTGGGACACGAAGCAACAGTTAGAACTGGATATGGAACAACTAATTAGTTCAAAATTGGGAAAAGAGTACAACAAGGCTGTATATTGTCTCCATGCTTATATAACTTATATGTAGAATATATCATGTGAAAGGCTGGACTGGAGGAATTCCAAGCTGCAATTAAGGTTGCCGGAAGAAATCTCAACAACTTCCGATATGCAGATGATACCACTCTGATGGCAGAAAGTGAGGAGGAATTAAAGAACCTTGTAATGAGGGTGAACGAGGAGAGTGCAAAAAATGGTCTGAAGGTCAACATCAAAAAAACTAAGATCATGGCCACTAGTCCCATCACCTCCTGACAAATAGAAGGGGAAGATATGGAGGCAGTGACAGATTTTACTTTCTTGGGCTCCATGATCACTGCAGATGGTGACAGCAGCCTCAAAATTAAAAGAAGCCAGCTTCACGGGAGGAAAGCAATGATAAACCTAGACAGCATCTTAAAAAGCACAGACCTCACCTTGCTGTCAAAGGTCTGCATAGTCAAAGCTATGGTTTTTCCAGTAGTGATATATAGAATTGAGAGCAAGACCATAAAGAAGGCTGAACGCTGAAGAAGTGATGCTTTTGAATTGTGGTGCTGGAGGAGGCTCTTGAGAGTCCCCTGTACTACAAAGAGAACATACCTATCTATTTTGAAGGAAATCAACCCTGAGTGCTCACTGGAAGGACAGATCCTGAAGCTGATGCTCCAATACTTTGACCATCCCATGAGAAGACCCTCATGTTCAGAAAGTGTGAAGGCAAAAGGAGAAGAGGACGACAGAGGATGAGATGGTTGGACAGTGTCACCAACATGAATTTGACCAAGCTCCAGGAGGCAGTGTAAGACAGGAGGGCATGGCCTACTCTGGTCCATGGGGTCAAGAAGAGTTGGGTACAACTTAAAGACTAAACAACAACAATGGAAATATTCTAAAAATGGGGGAAAATTTAAGATGAAGGTAAGAGAAGAATTATTAGAAGACGATTATGAATTTCAGTCGTTTGCCTATGTACAGTTAACCGAAAGATTTAAAGAAGATAAGAAATATGTTGAATTTGAAGAAGAAAAGTCTATCTTTATAGAAGAATTTTCTGACAATCGTATGGTTTCCATAATATATCAACTACTGCTGAAATGTGACACAGAGGATGAAAATGTTAGAGACTGCATGGTAAAGTAAGAGCCTCGTGGCGCAGTGGTTAAAACGCTGTACTGCAGCTAAAACTGTGCTCACGACCTGGGGTTCAAATCCCAGGTAGCCGGCTCAAGGTTGACTCAGCCTTCCATCCTTCCAACATCGGTAAAATGAGTACCCAGCTTGCTGGGGGGGCAATGTGTAGCCTGTATAATTAAAAACTGTAAACCGCCCGGAGAGTGCTTGTAGCGTATATAAGTCCAATAAATAAATAAATAAATAAATAAATAAATATAAATAAATAAAGTGGGTATAATGGGTACACAAAGCCCTTGAAATGGCTGAAAGGGGAAAACTCTCAGTCTCTCAAAGGCAAAAGTCAAGCTGAGTTAAAAAATAACATGGAAAGCCATATGGGACGTTCTGTTATATAAACACTAGGAATATGTAATTTTGAATTTCAGAATCACAATATATATATTTAAGGTTTCCATTTTCTTTATGCGTTATTAGTTGCATAACAACCAAAATGTTAAATATTAGTAACTAAGGAGGAAGTGATTCTGAGAAGAATTGAGAAAAGCGTGTGGAGATCTGTTCCCCACCCCAGATCCCCTCTTTCCCAACTTTTTTGTATTTCTGTTTGTTCATCTTTTTTTTTCTTTATTGTATTTGAAAATTATTAAAATTAATTAATTAATTAAATGGAAAGCAAAGCTAGAATTGGTAATTCAAAAGACCTTTTTAGTCTTCTGTGACAATATACCAACTGTGATATCAAATGTTCTTCATCCTCTAATTACCTTCCATTTGGCCTCAGGCTTGAGGCCAAATAGAAGGTAATTCCATTCTGCACATTTCTATATGTTGTGCTCTTTGCCTCTTCTGAAAAAATATCAGCACATAGCAATATCTAAAGTACACTCACAAATGAGATCAATGATGAAGAAAAAGCGTTATCTACCTCAGTGGTTCTTAACCTTTTTGAAAGAAACGCCCCCTTGAGCCATTGAGGAAGTTATCATCACCCCCCTCCCCGCAGTGACGATTTATTTATTTATTTATTTATTTATTTATTTATTTATTTATTTATTTATTTATTTATTTATTTATTTATTTATTTATTTATTTATTTGAGACACTTAAATCCA